GAGAGAGAGAGAGAGAGAGAGAGAAGCGGTGATTACCGCCAGCATTGGCCGCATCGACACATTCCTGTCCCAAACCAAACGCCTCGACGACTGGACCCAAACGACGGGATCGAATGGCAGCCGACAGATCATCGGCGGGGCTCTGGCCTCGACTTCGGTCGCGCAACGATCGTCGCACTCGACCCATGAAATTGTTGTCACTCAGCAGTGGTTGTAATCCCTCCAGAGATGGGCCAGAACTTGATGGCGGTTCCATTGGCGCTGACAATGGCTTAGAACCCGATGGCTGTTCATTTGGTGCTGAAGATGGCTGAGGACTTGGCTGCGGTTCCACCGGTACTGACAACTCATTCATTTGAATGTCTGCGCTCTGAACGGCCGGCGACTGGTTTAGACCACTGATGGCTGACTGCAAGTCAGACAACTCTATGCGCGACGTATTGGCCGTCGAAGTGGTGGCCTCCGAGTGTGGAGTCTGAGCCGAGCCGTGCGCTGAATTACCAGCCGTTGGATCCGATGACTGCGCGATGCGTTGCTGGAGGGCTGCTATGAATTGCGGATCGCGCAGACCTGCAAGCAATGGCATGTCTGCCTGAGTCGGATGTATAACTATTTCCTCTAATCTATTGGTCGCCCCATAGTGTAAAGTAGTGCAGCCGAGGAGTGTCTGTATGTCTTCAGGTGATAGCACACGACTACCACCGCCAGCAATAGCTCTGGGCAAAGGAGGGCTCCGGATATACTCATTGAATTTGGCCACCAATTCGTCATCTTTGGCGGCGTTCGGCTCTTGACTCCAATAGAAATATCGGCGATCGTTAAACAAGAATTTGAGGACAAATACGCGGCCAGTCGTGCACTGAACCACTTTCTCGAAGACGGCTTCCTCTGGGAATAGTGTCAGATCCTGAGGTTTTGGCCGCAGTTTACCGTTAGAAAAACAAATTTAGACATAATTTAGTTGCCGTTAATCTGATCCACACTTACGTCCTCCAGTTGTCCGGTTTCTCTGTCTTTCCAACAAAAGTGAATCAACGCGTCGTCGCTCTGATAAAGATATACCAGTCCTTTGCGGTCCTTCACTGGACTCACCTATTGGTCAATGAATTGTATAATTAAAATAAGTGATTAGTTAACGTCGAGCCCCTGTAATGCCGCTATACTAACCGTAGTGCCGGTGCGGATCATTTTGCCGGCTCTGAATTGTACCAAATACTGACCACTAGTCTGAGCGCCGGGTGTTTGGACGGGGAATAGCGAAGACATTGTTTTTGGGAACCGTTTAATTGAAACACTGAATAGAGTTTGAAATTGGATTCAAATCTAATTAACAATTAACACAATTCACGCGATTCTCAATCATTGACTTCACATTGTTTTGTATGTAAAGTAAAGTCAATGCATAAAGTTTTTAACAAAACTTTTACAGTAAATGCACACTAAATGTACAATAAGTCAAATAATAAAAATACTACGGTAACTATTTAGTGGAACATTTATTAAATTATAATTTAAAAGTGTTATTGTTATACAAAATAATATTTATATTACAATTAATTTGTAATCTAATTTTATAAAATGATTACATTAATTGTTTATAAATTAGTAAATCTTAAATAAACTTATTCTGCAAATACTGTATCAATAACTTAATGAAATAACATTTATTTTGTATTTTAATAAATAATAATTAAATAACTATTACTTGTATTTAAATATTAATTGATATCGAGTTTGATATCTATTAAATTTTATCATTTAATTTTAATTGTAAAATATAACAAAATTTTAATGAAACATAAGTTTCATAAAATGATTGTAATGTTTCAATACTTCAATACTTGAAAGTTTCAAATAAACCCAAAGGATTAAACAGAAATTAAATAAATTCTTATCGCATATCTAATCGATAATAAATAAATAATTTATTGTCAATAAAGAAAATAAAGATATTCTTTGAATTCTATAATAAAATATATAGTTTTTAAATACAAAACAAATCACAAATAAATAACAAAAATACATATGAATTACAATCAAGAATTTGGTTTATAATAAACAATAAAACTATTGAAACATTTGTTTGAAAATAAATAATAAAATGCGAGACAGATTTGGATGCGATTGTAATCATTGGTCTCACTTGTTGTCATTGTCGTCACTGTCGTCACTGGACTCACCATCTTTTGGACGTTTATTTGAAGTTTTGTTCTTATGATAAACTCTTCGCTTACGACTGTTGTCGCGGATCTCTTCTACCGATTTGTCAAAATTTGATATAATCTTTCGGCGAAGACTTTCCAGATCGGATTCGGTGTACAAACTGTCGTTGTTTTGGCCCATATGTCCGGAATCATTAATGTGTGTCTTATATGCGTTCACAAAGTTTTTCACATCTTTTCGACACAAATATCAATAAAATTCATAAAATTAATTAATTTTTAAACACTAAATGTTTTGTTGAAAGAGAGAGAGA